GTGTACATAGTTGTAAAAAAAAGGAGTTTTTAAACATGTTTATTTTCTATGCACTTTTTTTTATTTAAGTGATAGTTTAATTAATAAACATGTCAAGTTTATTGCTGCACATGGTTGAGCTTCCTTTTGGCTTTGGTTGGAGGGGGTGGAGAAAAGGGGAGGGGCATGTCCTGTGACCTGGTCGCAAAGTACCTTCCACAGTCCTTTGCTTTAAGGTGGCATCACTAAATCATTCCTTGCAGCCCACCTTCAGGTCTGCTCCACGCTGGCTCTCTTGACTGTATTTTCTTCCTTTATTCATCAATGATGTGTGTTCAAGACCTAACTAATTCTGGATATGAGGGAAGGTCAAGAGGACCAAGGAACAGCACCTTGACCTTCTACATATCTCCCCTGTTTGATGCAAGGAGGTCAGGTAGTGACTTTTACCTATTTTCTCCTAAACTGTGAATATAATACACTGAAAGCATTTCAGGGAGAAGCTGGAGAGCACCTTCTCTTAGCTGCACTCCACCTTAAGGCTGAAGCTGGATTTGTTGACTGTTTCTCCTGGGGGCAGGGGCAGTTGAGAAATAACTAAATATTCTGCCAGGCCAGGGTCAACCCTCCAGGCCACAGGCTGAGCAAATGCTACAGCCCAGAAAGGGAGACACTCCTCATGAAGGGGTGATCTTCATCCTTTTAGATCAACTTCCTGCGGGAGGCTCCGCCCCTACCACTGTCCTCCCTATTCTCTCATCCGGAGTCATCGTTTGGGATTTTTGGAGTTGAGCACCATGGGGACTCCAAATGATCAGGCAGTGCTGCAGGCCATCTTCAACCCTGACACCCCATTTGGAGACATTGTTGGATTGGACCAGGGGGACGAAGCAGAAAAGGAAGAACTAGAAGAAGGTGAGCATTTGACCTGGAGCGTAGCTCTGCACATGGGCTGGCCTCCTGGCCTTCCAAGGTAGCAGAGGGAGGTGATCTTACAGGGCCCCTTGTTCCATGACCCTTGGATTATGACTGAGATTGGAATCAGAGAGGTTGGCTGCTCCTTAGCGCACTGACTGATGATTTGGTAAGAGACGTCCTGCCAAGTGGAGTAAGCTAGGGTTTGTCTCTCAATCCGTCAGCTCCTATGCCTCTGAACTTACCATTTAATTAATTGCATGATCCAAGCTTAACTGCCAGATGATGTTAAAAATTCTCACATTTTTTGTCATAACAGAGAATACCACCACCACCCCTACCCAGAACAGACCAAAATAAGGCAGGGCATGGTGGCTTAGTTGAGTGGTTCCAATATGGCGACCACAACCAGTATCTTAAACACTGTCACAAGCCAAGCTCCAAGCTAACTCTTCTGCAGACTGAGTGTGTTCACTGCCTTTTCCATTAGCCCCTAATTAAGGAGTTTTCGATATCCTTTGTTTCTAGAGGAGTAAAGCCTACGCCTTATTAACTCAGGCTGAAATGCTGAGGGCTACATCAGAAGTAATGTTCATGATCTGGGAATATCATGGTGGCCTTTGCCTGAGAGGCAGTGTAGTAGAGCAAAATGCAGACAAAAGCCAGAACGACCTGGGTTCACATCCAAGCTCTGCATGTATGGCTTGTGTGACCTTGAACCAGTTCTTTAACAAGTTGAGGAATTTGGGCTTCATTCTCTTGGCAATGGGGAGCCAACTAAGGCCCCTTTCCAGGTCCCTTAGAACTCAGGTGACGGTAGCTCCCAGCCTTAGCGACCCAATCTCCCCCATACCCCAAACACTGCAACTGGTCACTGCTGGAACCCATACCCAGTCAGCTCTGGCTCAGATCTCAGAATTCCAAAGCCTGAGGTGGCTTTTTCTTCTTTCTACCAACTGCACACCTGGCCCTTCATGGCTCCTTCCCTGGCCCAGATGAAGTTTTCCCTCAAGCACAGCTGGAGCAGTCCAAGGCCCTGGAGCTGCAGGGGGTGATGGCAGCAGAGGCTGGGGACCTCAGCACAGCTCTGGAGAGGTTTGGCCAAGCCATCTGCCTGCTGCCTGAGAGGGCTTCAGCCTACAACAACCGTGCCCAGGCCAGGCGACTCCAGGGAGACGTGGCAGGTAAGGGGAGATGCTCTGTATCCTCTGCAAAAGCGGCCAAGGGAGAGCACAGACCAGGCCTGAAGTGGCTGTGGGGCTGGGGTGGCCTTGCTAATCTCCTCTGGAGCCTGTCTTCTTATCTATAAGGTAGGAGATGTATCAGGAGCCCTGCTAATCTAATGGGGCTATTGTGAAATTCAAAAGAGACTGCATTCCATTGATTAAGGAACATTTAATGAGAGCCTACTATGTGGTAGCAGGCTGGTGCTGAAGACACCGAGATAAAAGGTATGTTGATTGCCAACATTTATATAGCAGTCACTGTACCAGGCATTATGCACTTTACATATAAACTATAGTAAATCAATCCTCACAACAACCCTAAAAAGTATATACTATTGTTACCCCAGTTTACAGATGAAGAAACTGAAGCATGGAGAGGCTAAGTAATTTGCCCACTATCATATAGCTAGCAGCAGAGCTGGGATGTGAACCAGGTGGTAGGGCTCCAGAGTGTGTGCTCTTAATCCCCACATGATACTGCTCCTCAAAAAGCTCCCAGCCTGGCCGGGCGCGGTGGCTCGGCCGGGCGCGGTGGCTCAAGCCTGTAATCCCAGCACTTTGGGAGGCCGAGGCGGGTGGATCACGAGGTCGAGAGATCGAGACCATCCTGGTCAACATGGTGAAACCCCGTCTCTACTAAAAATACAAAACATTAGCTGGGCATGGTGGCACGTGCCTGTAATCCCAGCTACTCAGGAGGCTGAGGCAGGAGAATTGCTTGAACCCAGGAGGCGGAGGTTGCGGTGAGCCGAGATCGTGCCATTGCACTCCAGCCTGGGTAACAAGAGCGAAACTCCGTCTCAAAAAAAAAAAAAAAAAAAAAAAAAAAGCTCCCAGTCCAGGGGGCAGAACAGACACATAATTCTGAGACCAGTGTAACATGTGTGAGTGTGGGACCCATTCCTGAAGACTGGGTTTTCAAGTATGAGTAGGAGTTAGCTGGTGAGTGGAGAAGGTAGTATGTAGAGGTCCAAAAAGCAGACACAGGTACAGAGAACTTAAGGTCTTCATGCTGGCTGGAGCAGGGAGTGGAAGAAGGATGGAGAGCTGAGCCTGGAGCTGTGGGCAAGGGCCTGATCCACACCTTGGGAGTGTTAGGCTAAGACTGTGCGTCTTGAAAACATGGGGGACCACTCAAGGGTTTTAACAGGGGAGTAGCTGGATCAAACTCCTGCTGCATTCAGTTTATTCTAATTAAGTGGAGACAATGAGACCATGCAGGGGACCAAAGATCAGGCTGACAGGAAGGTATAAACCAAGGAAACCTAGTACTACTTGACTGTTAGGAGCAGTGGTGACGCAGGTGCTCCCAAGACCAGCAATCCCAAGCTGGAGAGTTTTGAGTCCATTCCAGGAACAATAGAAATCTCCCAAGAGCCCCTTTCCAGGCTTATCTGCCCCAAATCGCTGAAGATAGCCCGCAGACCAAAACTCTAGAGAGAAGCAGAGGTGATTCCAACTGGAGATTCCTCCAGACTAGCTCCTCTGAGGGAAACCAAGGAGTACTGCAACCTGAGAGCTTCTCCAGAGGCTCAGGCTCTTTAGGAGACTAGAGAACGTGAGTGAATTGAAGCAGAGTCCGGAATGAAGGCAGCCTGATGGACTTACAGAAGGTGGCTGACTGCCTGGGGTTCTGAGTTCAGAGTTCTGAGGCCCAACCCAAGTAATTTATGATAATAAAAATAAAAGTGGTGCAGGCCAGCTCTGGCTCCAGCACCAAGGATATTAGACACATGGAGATAACCAAAGAATAATGAAAGGCAATCAGTCCAGGAACTTGGGAAGAGAGGTGTTCTAAAGCAAGCAATAGAAAAAAAAAAAAAAAAAAAAAAAGGCTCTCAAAAGGAAAACAATGAGAATTTGACTTGGTTGTACTTGTAAGAAATGACTGCAGAGTTAATTTGTTTGAAGCCTGACTTTCAGAATCAGTCACCTGACACAGTGGATGCTTAATAACAGGTGTGGAATAAATTGGCTGCTACTTGTCCGGGCAGTGGGTCAGACTCATAAACTTAGTGACCATTCAGAATCCTGCAACGTTCATGTTTTCGTGTATTAGCGGTGGAAAACACTACGAACAAGGCGAGACCCGTACTTCAGTCCCAGCTCTGCCACTAAGTGGCCTGGCTGTACAGCCCCGGGCAAGTCCTCTCAACTCTTCTACAGTCTTAGCATCTGTGTAATGGGTATAACAGTCCGTACCTCTAGCAGGTGCGAGGCGGGTTGTAAACGGCCCCGCCCGGGAGCCGCAAGAACCACGGCGGCAGGTGCGGCGGCAGGTGGGCGGGGGCTCCAGCTAAGCCGCCCCGGTCGCCGCTGACCGCCGCCCCGCCCGCCCTGTCGGTCCCGCAGGCGCCCTGGATGACCTGGAGCGCGCGGTGGAGCTGAGCGGCGGCCGGGGACGCGCCGCCCGCCAGAGCTTTGTGCAGCGCGGACTCCTGGCGCGGCTTCAGGGCCGGGACGACGACGCGCGCAGGGACTTCGAGCGGGCAGCGCGCCTGGGCAGCCCCTTCGCGCGGCGCCAGCTGGTGCTGCTCAACCCCTACGCCGCGCTGTGCAACCGCATGCTGGCCGACATGATGGGGCAGCTGCGCCGCCCCCTCAACGGCCGCTGAGCGCTGCGGAGCTCCGGCGTCTGGGGGCGAGGGGACGGGGAGCGGGGGGGCCCTGAACCAATAAAGTCGTCGGGCCTCACCAGCTCTGCCTGCTCCTGCGTCCTGCCTGCGCCCGGCGAGAAGGGCACTGGGCGGGACTGTGCGCTGGGGGCCCTTGGTGCTTACTAGGGACCCGCCAGTGGGGTGGTGAGCCGCGGCCGCCCACCTGCCGGAGGAGGGCCTGTGGGGGCTTCTGGTCGGGCATCGATTGGCCCTGCCTGGCGCAGCCCTAGCCCCTGCAGCGGACTGCGGTGCTCATCAGACCTGAGCAGTTGCTCCGGCGGCGCTCGGGGAGGGAGCGAGGTGAGCCGCTCTGGTGGATGTTGGGGGTGGGGGGGAGGCGGAGGCGGGATGCTCGGCGACCCCACCCTCCCCTCACCCCTTCCTCTTCCGCTCACATTCACCAAAGCCACCAACATCAAGAAAGGGGGCGCAGGGCGAGGGATGGGAGAGAGAACAGGGCAGGAGGGAGGATGGGATTGGACGTAGGGCGAGGGATGGGAGAGAGAACCGAGCAGAAGAGAGGATGGGAAAGGGAAAAGCAATCCCTTTGGAGGAGGGGCGCGTGAAGACCGACTGTGTGTGGGTGTGTGTGAGAGAGTGTCCGTGCGTGCAAGGTGCGGTTGCACAGATGCTTGTTGGTTCTACGGATCTGCGGGCGGGTGCCTGTTTGTAGCCTGGAGTCGGTGCTCGGTTCTGCGCCTGTAGGGTATCCAGGTATCTGCTGAGCGGGTCTGTGCCTTTGGGCTTTGCCGTTCGTGTCCGCGCCTTCGCCACTGGGAGCCGGTCTACATTTGTGTCTCCGTGCATGATTCTTTTTGTTTCTGGAGAGTAAATTCTGGAGAAATTGCTAGGCCTGCCCACTTTCACCTGGCTGACACGGAGACCCGACCCCTTCTCTCAGCAGCCTGGGGCCCAGGGCCGGGCCACCATGGCGCTGCCTCCAGGCCCAGCCACCCTCCTGCACGCACTGCTGCTCCTGCCAGCCCTTCTGAGCTCAGGTACACCCCTGTTCAGTCGTTGACCAAGTGCTTCTGGGGTCCAGAGCCCCCTCTCTCCTCTCTTTGTCTGCACTTCTGTTTGGGTACCCACTCCAGGCCCCAGGCTCTGGAGCCCCTATTCCCTTCACCCACCTACCCTAGCTCCAACCAGTCAGTCCCTGGTGAGGACTCAGGCGCCCTTTCCCTTGGCCTGCTGCTCCTCTCACTGGACCTCTTCCTGGTCACAGCACAGTACCAGCCCTGCCCCAGCCCTTCCCAGAGGCCCCTGCTGTGTTCCAGGTTGGGGGGAGTTGGCGCCACAAATAGATGGTCAGACCTGGGCTGAGCGGGCACTTCGGGAGAATGAACGCCACGCCTTCACCTGCCGGGTGGCAGGGGGGCCTGGCACCCCCAGACTGGCCTGGTATCTGGATGGACAACTGCAAGAGGCCAGCACCTCAAGATTGCTGAGTGTGGGTGGAGAGGCCTTCTCTGGAGGCACCAGCACCTTCACTGTCACTGCCCAGCGGGCCCAGCATGAGCTCAACTGCTCCCTGCAGGACCCCAGCAGTGGCCGGTCAGCCAACGCCTCCGTCATCCTCAATGTACAATGTGAGTGCCCCTGAGGTGGACAGGGAGAGTGGTTCTCTGCCAAGGGACCCCCAGCAGCCACCAGGAAGGTGGTCCACAGGACATGTAGCAAACACTTAAGCACTTTGCAAATATGAACTCATTTTATCCTCTGAGTAATCCCATGAGGTCGTTACTATTGTCCCCATTTGAAAACTGAGGCACAAAGAGGTTAAGCAATCCACTTAGGGTGACGGTCCCGCTGATAAGAAGCAGAGCCAGGATTCACATCTGGGCTTTTGGCTCTAATTACACTCATAATCACCACGAAATGCTGCCTCTCTGGCAGACCCAGCCATTCTGTGCTCAGCATCCCCTCTGAGGAGGGGCCCAGGCCCCTGGCCCCTGGCCCCCATCTGGGTTTGGGAAGATGGGGCCAGGCACATGAGGGGCTGTGGTAAGAGCATATTGGCCTCTGCTTTGCACCAGTCAAGCCAGAGATTGCCCAAGTCGGCGCCAAGTACCAGGAAGCTCAGGGCCCAGGCCTCCTGGTTGTCCTGTTTGCCCTGGTTCGTGCCAACCCACCTGCCAATGTCACCTGGATCGACCAGGATGGGCCAGTGACTGTCAACACCTCTGACTTCCTGGTGCTGGATGCACAGAACTACCCCTGGCTCACCAACCACACAGTGCAGCTGCAGCTCCGCAGCCTGGCGCACAACCTCTCGGTGGTGGCCACCAATGACGTGGGTGTCACCAGTGCCTCGCTTCCAGCCCCAGGTGAGCATGCCCAGCAACTGGCCTAGCAAAGCCTCAGATGGGCGCAGGGGTCCCATCCCCATACAGAAATGGGAGTACTTGGTGCCCTGTGGGTGGGTCTTGTGGATGAGCTGTCCCTAGTCACCCTGGGCAAGGAGAGCATAGTAGTACCTATGGCATGTTGGGGTTGGGGGCACTGCCCAGTTGGGACCTAACCAGAGGATGTCCTTCAGGGCTCCTGGCTACCCGGGTGGAAGTGCCACTGGTGGGCATTGTTGTGGCTGCTGGGCTTGCCCTGGGCACCCTTGTGGGGTTCAGCACTTTGGTGGCCTGCCTGGTCTGCAGGAAAGAGAAGAAGACCAAAGGTAGGCCAGGGACACTGGGGGCAGAGGGTGGCTGGAGGAGTGGCTATAGGTCAGGCTGAGCAGCAGCCTGGGCAGAACCAGTCGTCTCTGACTGTGGCAGAGCACTTCCAGGGTGTGGCCATGGGTAGGGCATTTGAGGGACCCCTTTCCCTGAGGGTCCTGGGTCTGAAAGGGTAGGAGGAGGAGAGCCCAGCGGGGGAGGGCACATTGGGAATGAGAGATACGGCTTCTTTCTCCGCAGGCCCCTCCCGGCGCCCATCTCTGATATCAAGGTAACTCTTCCTGGGGCTGGGTGGACGAGCCTCATAATCACCACGAAATGCTGCCTCTCTGGCAGACCCAGCCGTTCTGTTCTCAGCATCCCTTCTGAGGAGGGGCACAGGCCTCTGGCTCCCATCTGGGTTTGGGAAGATAGGGCTAGAAGTATGAGGGGCTGTGGTAAGCGCCTATTGGCAGGATGGGGACAGGAGGGAGCCTGGGGTTTCTGGTAGAGGCAGCCGTGAGTGCCTGTGCCGGGGTGCGTATCCATTCCGACTTTGTCTTCCCTGTAGTGACTCCAACAACCTAAAACTGAACAATGTGCGCCTACCACGGGAGAACATGTCCCTCCCGTCTAACCTTCAGCTCAATGACCTTACTCCAGATTCCAGAGGTATATCTAGGAGCCTGCTATTGGCCCCTGCTTAATCTTCAGAAGTGCTTCTGAGAAAAAGAGAGCTTGGTGCTTGGGAAGAGCAAGGCCCCATCAGGCACACTCCTCGTCCTCAACACTGCCCTCTTTGTCACCCAGCAGTGAAGCCAGCAGACCGACAGATGGCTCAGAACAACAGCCGGCCAGAGCTTCTGGACCCGGAGCCTGGTGGCCTCCTTACCAGCCGAGGTACTGGGAAGGGCCCACCGCCCTCCTCCTCTGCTCCCCAGCCCTGTGCTTATGCCAGAGGCCTCTAAGTGCCCAGGGGGCAGAGAGGGCTCTCCCAGCTTCCAAGGAACAAGCGTTACTGAGTCCCCTGGGCGGCTTTGATCCTGCAGGTTTCATCCGCCTCCCAATGCTGGGCTATATCTATCGAGTGTCCAGTGTAAGCAGTGATGAGATCTGGCTCTGAGACAAGGGTGTTCTCTTGGCCTCCGGACACCCTCCCATTCCTCCAAGGCATTCTCTGCCTAGCTATGTCGCCAACGTGAACAGGTCATGCCACTGCCACTTTTGCTTGCTCTCCTAGCTGGGGTGCCCTCTGTCATGCACATGATACATTTCACTGGGCTGTAACCCACAGGGAGACAGGTATCTTTGGCAAGGCTGCCAGCTGGACCTAAGCCCCTCATGCTGACTCAGGGTGGGGCCTGCATGTGATGACTGGGCCCTTCCACAGGGAGCTCTTTGGCCAGGGGTGTTCAGATGTCATCCAGCATCCACGTGTGGCATGGCCTGCTGTATGCCCCACAAGGGCCCTGCATGGATTTTCCTCCTTCCTATGCTATGTACCCTCAGGTAAAATTTAGGACCCTGTTAGCTGTGTAGAACCAAACTGTCCTTTGCACAGAAACTAACCCCTAGTCCTGGGGCACTGGCCAAGCACAAATGAGTCCTTTTTGCTGCCTACCTCTCTGCCCTTCTCTGTCCCTTCTGTCCCCACCTCCTCTTGGGAATTCTAGGTTGTATGTTGGACCTTCTCTACTTCTTCACTGGGCACTAGACTTTTCTATTGGCCTGTGCCTCGCCCAGTATTAGCACAAATCAGGGAGGAAGAGGGAAGTGATGAGTCCAGTAGCACCCAGGACGGCTTGTAGCTATCATTTTCATACGGTGTTAGCACTTCAAGCACATCCCCTAGGGGAGTGGGTGAGTGAGGGGCCCAGAGCCCTCTTTGTGGCTTCCCCAAGTTTGGCCTTCTGTGATTCACTGTGAGTGTCCTGAGCTCTCAGAATTGATGGTTTCCCTCTCAGCTTGTCTCCTCCACCATGGGACCCCATCCCTGACCAACCCCTGGTTGCACCATCAGCAGGAAGCTGCCCTTCCTGGAAGATGGTCACCACAGGCACATAATTCAACAGTGCCGGAAGCTTTAGGGGGATATGGAGAAAGGAGGAGACCACATACCCCAAAACGACCTAAGAACACTTTAAAACACAACATGTATGTAAATGATTGGAAATTAATATAGTACAGAATATATTTTTCCCTCATTGAGATATTCTTTTGTAATGTTTTTCATGTTACTGCCTAGGACAGTGCTGAGCACACAGTAAGTTTAATAAACTTGACTGAATGAATTTACATATCTCTGCTTCATTTCTATGTTTTGTATGTGTTTTTTTTTTTTTTTTGAGATGGAGTCTCACTCTGTTGCTCAGGCTGGAGTGCAGTGGCGTGATCTTGGCTCACTGCAACCGCTACCTCCTAGATTCCAGCAATTCTCCTGCCTCAGCCTCCTGAGTATAGCTGGGACTATAAGCACCAACCACACCCAGCTAATTTTTATATTTTTAGTAGAGATGGGGTTTCACCATGTTGGCCAGGCTAGTCTCGAACTCCTGATCTCAAGTGATTTGCCCACTTCGGCCTTCCAACATGCTGGGATTACAGGTGTGAGCCACTATGCCCAGCCTTCTAATATGTTTTTTAAATGAAGTTTTCTAGTCTGACAGTGGAAAAAATACAGCAAGCACCTATAATAACTCTGATATTACCAAACTTTTTTCAGAAAAGTAAATCACATTTCTTTAATTACACTGTTCCCAATGGCAGGATTAGCATTTTCTATTTCCGGAGTGCCGAGTGGGGTTCTTAGCTATAACCAGCATCTGATTCCACTTGGTCCAGCTGCTGCTTCCCACCTTAGGACTGGGCTAAGATATGCTGAGCCCCTTCGTCCTGCCCACGGGAACAGAAAGCTTAGACTGGGCTGTGATTTTTTTTTTTTTTTAGCACAAAGTTATGAGGTTCATGTGAAATTTTGTTAAATCCATATGTATGTATGTGTATACGTATATATATAGAGAGAGAGCACGTGTGTGTGTGTGTGTCTTGCTCTGTCAGGCTGGAGTGCAGTAGTGCAATCATACCTCACTGCAGCCTTGAACTCTTGTGTTCAAGGGATCCTCCCACCTCAGCCTCATGAATACCTGGAACTACAGGTGTGTACCATCGTGCTCAGCGAATTAAAAAGATTTTAGGGGGACCAGGTGCAGTGGCTCATGCCCTGTAATCCAGCACTCAGGGAGGCCAAGGCAGGCAGATCACAAGGTCAGGAGATCAAGACCATCCTGGTCAACAAGGTGAAACCCAACTCTACTAAAAATACAAAAATTAGCTGGGCTTGGTGGTGTGTACCTGTAATCCCAGCTATTTGGGAGGCTGAGGCAACAGAATCGCTTGAACCAGGGAGTCAGAGGTTGTGGTGAGCATGGTGACTCATACCTGTAATCATAGCACTTTGGGAAGCTGAGGCAGGTGAATTGCTTGAACCCAGGAGTTCAGGACCAGCTTGGGCAACACGGTGAGACCCCAACTCTACAAAAACACAAAAATTAGGCGGGCATGGTGGGTGTACCCGTAGTGCCAGTTACTTGGGAGGCTGAGGCAAGACGATCACTTGAGCCCAGGAGGCAGAGGTTTCGGTGACTGAGATTGCACCACTGCACTCCAGCCTGGGCCACAGAGTGAGACCCTGTCTCCAAAGAAAAGAGAGAATCTCCATATGGTTTTCTATAGTGGTTGTACTATTTTATATTCCCACCGATATAAGACTGTAAGAGTTCCCTTTTCTCCCCATCCTCATCGATACCTGTAATTATTTGTCTTTTTAGTAATAGCCATTCTGATTGGGGTAAGCTTGTATCTCATTGTGGTTTTGACTTGCATTTCTCTGATAATTAGTGATGTTGAGCATTTTCTCGTATACCTGTTAGCCATTTGTATGTCTTCTTTTGAGAAATGTCAGCTGGGTGTGGTGGCTCACACCTATAATCTGAGCACTTCGGGAGGTCAAGGCAGGTGGATCACTTGCAGTCAGGAGTTTGACACCAGCTTGGCCAACATGGCAAAACCCCATCTCTACTAAAAATACAAAAAAACAGTTGAGTGTGGCAGCACATACCTGCAATTCCAGCTACTTGGGAGGCTGAGGCAGGAGAATCATTTGAATTTGGGAGGCAGAGGTTGCAGTGAGCTGAGATCATGCCACTGCACTCCAGCCTGGTTGACAGAGTAAGGCTGTCTCAGAAAAAAAAAAAAAAAAAAAAAAAAGGAAATGTCTCTTTTGCCAACTTTTTAATGGGATTATTTGGTTTCTTTTCCTGTTGAGTTGTTTGAATTCCTTGTATATTCTGGATATTAATCCTGTTGGATGAATAGTTTGTGAATATTTTCTCCCATTCAACAGATTGTCTCTTTACTCTGTTCATTATTTCTTTTGCTGTGCAGAAGCTTTTTACTTTAATTAAGACCCACATGTCTATTTTTGTTGCTGTGCTTTTGAGGTCTTGGTTGTAAATTTTTTGCCTAGACCAATGTCCAGGAGAGTTTTCCCTAGGGTTTCTTTTGGTATTTTTATAAATTCAGGTCTTATGTTTCAGTCTGTAATCTATTTGGAGTTGATTTTTATATGTGGTGAGAGACGGGTCCAGTTCCGTTCTTCTGCAGGTGGCCATCCAATTTTCACAGCACCATATTGTGGAGGGTGTTCTTTCCCCACTCTAAGTTTTCATCGGCTCTACCAATGGGCTGTGATTTAAAAATAAAAAATTGGGGCCGGGGCACAGTTGATCACTCCTGTATTCCCAGCACTTTGGGAGGCTGAGGTGGGTAGATCACAAGGTTAGGAGTTCGTGACCAGCCTGGCCAATATGGTGAAACCCCATCTCTGCTAAAAATATAAAAATTAGCTGGGTGTGGTGGCACATGCCTGTAGTCCCAGCTACTCAGCAAGCTGAGGCAAGAGAATCACTTAAACCCAGGAGGCAGAGGTTGCAGTGAGCTAAGATTGTGCCACTGCACTCCAGCCTGGGTGACAACCGTCTCAAAACAACACAAGATAGTATTTGCAAGCCTCATGGTAACCCCAAATTAAAAAACACACAATGGAAACACTGCTTTTAGGATCCTTTCCTTATCCTTGACCTCTGGGAGTTTGATTATTAAATGCCTTGATATCTGGTGGGTTAAATCTGCTTATGTTCTATAAACTTGTACTTGGATATGGATATCTTTCTCTTGGCTTGGAAAATTTTCTTTTATCCCTTTGAATAAACTTTCTACCCCATCTCTTTCTCTATCTCCTCTTTAAGACCAGTAACTCTAGATTTGCCCTTTTGAGGCAATTTTCTAGATCTTATAGGTGTGCCTCATCTTTTATTATTTTATTTCATCTTTCTTCTCCTCTGTGTATTTTCTTTTCTTTTCTTTTCTTTTTTTTGAGACAGAGTCTTGCTCTGTCGCCAGGCTGGAGTGCAGTGGTGCATTCTCGGCTCACTGCAACCTCTGCCTCCTGGGTTCAAGTGATTCTTCTGCTTCAGCCTCCCGAGTAGCTGGGACCAGAGGTGCGTGCCACCACACCCAGCTAATTTTTGTATTTTTAGTAGAGATGAGGTTTCACCATGTTGGCCAGGAAGGTCTCAATCTCTTGACCTCGTGATCCGCCCACCTTGGCCTCCCAAAGTGCTGGGATTACAGGCATGAGCCACTGCACTCAGCCGTATTTTCTTTTTTTTTGAGATGGAGTCTCACTCTGTCACCCAGGCTGGAGTGCAATGGTGTGATCTCAGCTTACTGCAACCTCCACTTCTGGGGTTCAGTGATTCTCCTGCCTCAGCCTCCCGAGTAACTAAGACTACAAGTGCCCACCACCATGCCCAGATAATTTTTGTATTTTTAGTAGAGATGGGGTTTCTCCATGTTTGTCAGGCTGGTTTTGAACTCCTGACCTGAAGTGATCCACCCACCTCCGCCTCCCAAAGTGCTGGGATTATAGGTGAGCTACCACGCGCAGCCCAGACTGTACATTTTCAAATAGGCTGTCTTCAAATTCACTCATTCTTCTGCTTTATCAATTCTGCTATTAAAAGACTCTTATGCATGGGCCAGATATGTTGGTGCACGCCTGTAATTCCAGGACTTTAGGAGGCCAGGGCAGGTGGATCCCTTGAGGCCAGGAGTTCCAGACCAGCTTGGCAAACATGGCAAAACCCTGTCTCTACTAAAATTACAGAAAATTAGCCAGGTGTAGTGGCACATGCCTGTAACCCAGCTACCTAGGAGCCTGCTGCAAGAGAACTGCTTGAACCCAGGAGGTGGAGGTTGCAGTGAGTCTCAGGATCACATCACTGCACTCCAGCCTGGACAACAGAGTGAGACTCTGTCTCAAAAAAAAAATTTAAAAAGACTCTGATGTGTTCTTCAGTATGTCAACTGCATTTTCAACTCTAGAATTTCTGCTTCTTTTAAATTATTTCAATCTCTTTGTTAAATTTCTCTGATAGAATTCTGAATTCCTTGTTATCTTGATTTGAGTTTCCTCAAAACAGCTATTTGACTTCTCTGTCTGAAAGATCACATTCCCCTCTCTCTCCAAGATAGGTCCCTGGTGCCTTATTTAGTTTGTTTGGTGACCTCATGTCTTCCTAAATGGTGTTGATGCTTATAGATGTTCGTCAGTGTCTGGGAATTGAAGAGACAGGTATTTATTGTAGTCTTTGCCGTCTGGGCTTATTTATACTCATCCTTCTTAGTAAGGCTTTCCAGGTATTCAAAAGGACTTTGATGTGATCTAAGCAGTCTCTGCATTAGGGAGCACCCCAAGCCCAGTAACACTCTGGTTCTTGCTGACTCAGAGTGATGTTGCCTTGGTGGTGTTAGATAAAATCCAGAATTCTCTGTATTACCAGGCAGAGATGCCTGTTGTCTGTCTTACTCCCAAACAAATGGAGTGTCTTTCTCTGTGTGGTGAGCTACCTGGAGCTGGGGTTTGGGTGACACAAGAACTTCTGTGGCCACCACCACTGGGACTTCACTGCGTGAGACCTGAAGCCAGGACAGCACTGAGTCTCGCCTAAGGCCCTTGTATCCACTATGTGACTACTGCCTGTGTACACTCTAGGGCCTGAAGCTGTACAGTCAGCAGATGTTGAAGCCAGACAGGCTCATGTCCTTCCCTTTAGGGTGGCAAGTTCCCGATGGCCCCAGTGGGTCCAGAAATGCCATCCAAATGCCAGGGACTGGAGTCAAAAACCTTAGAAATCTACCTGTTCTATTGTTGTGCTGCTGAGCTGGCTTT